TCTTCTCCCTCTTCTCGGTTGAAAACCACGAATGCATAGCACAGTTCTCACTGAAGACCCCGTGAGATAATCTAAAGTCATTCAAGTTCCTCTTCCATACAACAACACTATACAGGGTGGAAAAAGAAATTTGAGCCAAATTTTAGACAAAAAAAACTTTGAATAAGATATTTAAAGTTTCCAAGAAAAAAGTTAAATCTTTTTAAAACTTTGTTTTTACTTTTTCAAACACACTGTTGAGTGTACATCTTAATTAAACGTGAGTCTTGGGATTCAGATTAGAGAAACAAAAATAGGATTTTAAAAAGAACTAGCTAATCTTCTAGAGAATAGATAGCAATCACGTTTCTCAAAATTAATCTTCACAGAAAACATTCTTATTTTCTGCACTTTTTATAAGGCAAAATAAAGCTTTCTTACCTCTCATCAAAAACCCCTCTCATTAGAGATCTCCTCTTCTTAGAGACCCACTCTCATTAGAGACCCCCTCTCATCAGAGGCCCACTCTTATCCGAGACCCCTGCACGGACGTGTTCGTTTACAGAAAAAATTATTGCAATTATGAACTCAGAGGTTGTGAGCTCAAAACAGATCAAAACCCAGGTACAAGATACATTTTCTTCAGTTAAGTATGTCCTGCCTGCGTCCAAATAAACTCAATTGAAGGTGTACTGAGAACTAATAGGACATCTAAATCACCGTGCAATAAATGAACTAATAGGACATCTAAATCACCGTGCAATAAATGAACTAATAGGACATCTAAATCACCGTGCAATAAATTAACTAATAGGACATATAAATCACCGTGCAATAAATGAAAATGTTGAACATTTGAAAGCGCATTATCAGAAGGATAAAAAAGTAACAAAAAAAACATCTCAAAGAGAAAAAATTTAAATGTTTTATTTAGTAAAAAAATTGTCTACGTGTAATGTAGTCAGGAAAATGGAAGTGTCCTAACTTTGATTTCTTTGGTTAACTGGTTAACTGGTGCATGTCTCATGTCATGTTATGTCTTACAAATTTACTTGAAGTGACATAAAAAATCATGGTTTGTGGTTTTTTAACATTTGCATTGGACACATTTAATATTCTAACAAAAGTTTTAAAACATTATTGATATTCAGCAAATGTATTAAAGATTTTTGAAATCCAACAAAGGTATTACATTACATTACAGATTTGTAAATCCATCAAACTAATAAAGATTTAGCAGAATTTGGAAATCCAAAAATATAAAACAAATTTTGAAAATCTGAAACATTTATTAATTTAGTTTTTGGAAAATTTTAGAAATATAAAACAAATTTTGGAAATCCAACTAATGCAATAAAAATTATGAAAATCCTGCAAAATTAAATGCAGATTTAAGAAATCCAGCGGAAAAGATACAGAGGAATGCATGCAATCAATATTATCCCCGGCTCAGGTGTTAAATTTCAATCCAAAACTTGTTCAAGCTGAATTATTGCATGAGGAAAATTATTTGTTCAAAATGAAAGTTTTTTTAACATTTTAGATTTGGTTTACTTTCCAATTCACTCTTTCTTGATTGAATAATTACATAATTTTGGCTAAGAAAGTATTATCTACAACATTTTTATTTTCACATACAAAAATGCTAGTATCTTTAAGCCTTTCCTTGCACTACGCGTACAGTCCCTTAAAAGTTAAGGTTGCAAGGGTTCTTATATATAGTAATGATGTTGTATTGAAAGTAAGTGGTTTGATAAGGTTAGTGCCAATATTTTGAACTATTTATAATCATACTCAACAACTTGTAGACTGTAGGTGGTTTAACACCATTAACACTTCTTACAATGCTTACTATAGGTTAGAATGCGAACAGACGGGATAGGAAGAATATGCGTGAGTAGGACGGGATAGGAAGAATATGCGTGAGTAGGACGGGATAGGAAGAATATGCGTGAGTAGGACGGGATAGGAAGAATATGCGTAAGTAAGACGGGATAGGAAGAAAATAAGATGAGGGAAAGAGAAAGGAAAAAAGTACAGGATAGGAAGGAAAGTAATTATGAAGATAGGATAGGGATAGGATGTAAAAAAAGAGGAAAGGACGGAATATGAAGTGAAAGAGAGGAATAGGCGAGAAAGAAAGGAAAGTAGATGATGAGGCGGGATAGGAAGTAAAGGATTAGGATGTAAAGAATTGAAAAGGACGGGATAGGAAAAAAAGAAAAATGATGAGATATAAAAGGACGGGATATGAAAAGGGCGTTATGGGATAGGAAAGTATTGAAAAGAACAGGACGAAAAATAATAAGATATACAAGGACGGTATTTGAAAGAACGTGACGGGATAGGGAGGAAATAGAAGAACGGTAGGGGATAGGACATTACAGGACATAACAGAACAAAATAGGATAAAAGGACATGCCAAAAGGACGGGACGGAATAGGATGGGTTATAAAAGGACAGGACAGAATGGATATAAAAACTTATGAAAGACCGTTATGATCTAATATTCTAAAAGTTTATATGGCGGCCTATTAAGCCCCGACCAGAATTTTCCCTCATAAAATCTCAACCCTCAAAAATTAAAATGCATTAAGTCAATGTTAAAAATGATGTTTTAGTGCTTTGAATAAGCTTAAATTTTTTTCACTATTAAAGCATTAAACAAAATAAATGCAACCTTAGATACTAAGCATACTCAGCTTGTCTATGAATTGAATGGAAAATTCGAAAACATAGCAAAACAAAGTTTAAAGATTATTTTAATGACATCGTATCTTATATAAGGAATTCAATTTACAATTGTGAATCGTTCTTAGGTTTTTTTTATAAAAACGGTTTCTCTAGAAATTGCGTGAAATTTAGCGTTGAATGCGTAAAATATAATAAACTTTTACAAACTTTCAATTTTTCATGGATTTTGTTTACAAATGACTGATTTATATTGTACAAAATCTAGGTGGTGAAGAGGAGGGGGGGGGGGAATTACATACACTCAAATGAATTATTACTTAAAAGGAATGAATGTATAGGTTCTGCTAATATGCTTGATAATTAAGTATAAATTGCACTTCGAACCATGGACTAAACAAATTGAATGGTTTGATTGACTTCAAACATTGATTCTGCTGATTAATACGCTTCAGGGGGGAGTGTGTTCAAATTTATATAAAATCAAAAATATTGAAATAGTTCTGAAAATATCAAAAATATATTTTATTCACGGTGAAATACTTGTTATTGAGCGAGGTCGATTTTAACAAATTTTGAAATGTTAAATGCTTAAACAGGATTTGTAGGGAGCAATGAGCATAAAATCTAAACAACTTTAGGACGTTAATAGGACAAATTTGGCCTTAAAAAGAAAACAAGATAAAATCATGCTTACATGGGTATCTACAGATTCGCCGAAAGCTGCTGATTACGGTTCTTTTTGGTTTTGATATTTTAAAGATTGAATCAATTGAGGCCCAAAAACAGATATTTCTGAATTTTAAAACAAAATTTTTTTCCTTAACAAAATTTTACGATTACGTTTTAGAGTGTTATGCTCTAAGACAATCTCGTGATATTTCTCCAGAAAAATAATCGCATACAAAGAGTGAGCTAATAAAAATTTTTCGTTATAAAAACTCGTTTTCGTCTGTGAAAGAGAAAATCATCTTTTCTAGGTGAATCAAGTGGAATTTCCGAAATCGACCTCTCTTACAGTGGTTAAATGAAATCGAATAGGATTCGAATTCGTGAGAGAAACTTTTTGGAATAATTAATTATAAAATACATAAGGCGGGGAGTGAATAATTGAAATGATGAGTTTAAATGGATTGAATATCTCCGAAAACAGTTTGGATTAAATGGATTCGATTATTGTAATCCATTCCGATATTGATGGCACAGTCAGGATTTTCTAATAATTTACACCCTGTGCCCCTGCTAGCAATTTTTTCATCACATCCTGGGGGAAAATATTCAGTATAGCAGGGGACATATATTTTCTTATTCCTATGTTGAATTTTAAAATCAAAGTGTTGACAGAAAATTTGTAGATTTTAAAATGTTAAAGAGACTGCCGATTTAAAATGTTAAAGAGATTACTGCCGATTTAAAATGTTAAAGAGATTACTGCCGATTTAAAATGTTAAAGAGATTACTGCCGATTTAAAATGTTAAAGAGACTGCCGATTTAAAAAAATACTTTTAAGTTCTTAACTCTTTTCTGGATTAGGTATGATGAAGTTATTGAATTACAAAATTAAATTTCAGAAATTCTTTTCTGGTTTTTGCTGCATAAATGCGCGATGATTAGATTAAAATTATTTCTTATAATTCTGAAGTTTTCTAAACTCATTTAATTTCCAGATATTTTTTTTATTTATTTATTTTATTTTTTTATTTTATTTATTTATTTTATTTATTTATGTGTCAGAGCAGTTTTTTATCTAGCCTGAATAAGCTTTCAATCTAAAGCATTTTGTCAGAAACATCCAACAATTAGAGTTTTCCTATTCCACAGTTTTATGAATCCCACTGTAGAGAAATTAAATTTTATGAATAACAGTGTTTTGAGAGGGAACACACAGATGGAACCATTCTTAATTGCTTTTGTTAGATGGTATTAAAAAATTGGAAGATTTCCAAAAATGTTAAAAATTTCAATAAGTGTGCTGGGCTGCCAAGCACCAACAAGATTCTATTTTATGGACAGATAAATCATAAAGTTTCAGCTTCACTATTTACATTCAAAACTTACGAAGAGGTTAAAAAACGAGACAATTTTTCAGGGCGAATCAAAGAATTTGTGTAACATATTTTGAACAGATTTTACGATTACAATAATTCATATTATTTACATTTTTAGTTGCCATTATTTGCAGCATTATGTTGCCCAGAACAAATTAAACCTCAATTTTTGCATTTTTGAAGAGTTTAGTTTTGTCAGATGATGCATATTCATGTATGAAGGGATGAGAGATAAACGTATTTTAAATCCCCTCCACACACTGATTTATGTTTAAACTAACCTCTAAATTGTCAAGGAACAGTGTACAATTGTACGGTTGTTGAATGTCTCCAATTTTTACTGTTAGATCACTTGCAGTACAGTGTTGTGTACAGTACAGTACAGTTACTACCAAAACCAATTTGGCGGTTTGTTTTACACGCATATTGTGTTCACTCAAATACATTATTTATCCAAACATCACTGTTTCGTTAATATAAATATGCCTGGTTTCATTCACGTAATCGTCCGGAAATCAAGAGCGCACCGCAACGTCTTTCCTCCTGCGCGACCTAAGAGGAACTGAGAAAAATCTACGCGCTCCGAAGACGCTGCAACTAACCGAGCTCCCGGGTCTAACATAGGATAGATACGTGCATCGTGCACTTGTTCAACTCTTTAATAAAACTCCTTCAAAGGGACTGTGAACGTTATTTTAATTGGTCCTCAATTTAAAAAGACTGGCATGTTCAATTCACAATGCTATCCTTTAAGCCATTTTCCGATCATCAATAAGAGAGATATCCTTATTTTTCCAGCTCAAACTTGAGTGCATTGGCAATAAATTCACACATGCACTTCATTCTCAAGTTTTCCGGCAATCAATTTTCATCAATATTATTGATCATATAAAGGTCTTAAGGCCACTTGCAATTACTTGTACAGTCCCTTTAAAGCTCTCGGATGAATACTGTTTAAATGAGTAAATAAATGTATACACGATGTATATGCCGCCCTCAGCTAAATGTTTTTTATTGTATTACAATATTTATGCAAAATTCTCATAGATCAAAAGTGTGTGTACATATATATATACAAATATGAATTGGGTATACAGTGTGTTCCAATAAAATTTCTTTACAGGTTGTTTGGGATATTCACAATAAGCTCTACAAGGAAATCAGCATAGTGTCGAGATCTTAAATTTTATTTTTTTTCTCCACATCTCTAATCCTTATATCTTTGCAACCCAATGAAGTAGACCTTAGATAATTCATACTATAATTTTAAAAGATAAAATAATATAAGCTTGAAATATTAAAATTGTTTATTAACAGTTTGCAAAGATAAAGAGATCAGAAAATTTGAGTTTGTGGGGAAAAAACCTTAGTTGATTTATCAAAATTTTTTATACACTCTGTTGAAGTTTGCATACCTTAAAGCTACTGGTTGCACGAGCAAAATTAGAAGTTGCAAAATGATATTCTTTGTAGTTTTATTGTTTTAAACTGAAGAAGGACGCCCCCCACCCCCTCCTCCCAACCCCGAAGCCTAACTCATAAATATATATAGACTGCCTAATAAAGCTTACTCCTTTTATTTGGAGGGTTTCGCCTCAAGGCCCTCGTGTGCAACATGTTACGAACTTAAAGTTGTAAAAATAAACAATAATTAGAATTTAAAATGCATGGTAAATGCCATTTTTTGGGCAATAAAATTATTAATTATGATCTTTTTAAACCACGAATATGGAACTCCATATAAGTTCATTAAGGAATTGAGTTGTTGCAACATTCTTACATTTTCTAACCCCTATACCTTTGCAACCTGATGGTGTAAACCTTTGATATTCCAAACTTAGACTAATTGATCTACCATAATTATTAGTTTGAAATATCAAAGGTCTAGGAATACGGGTTGCTAAGTCATAGGAATTAGAAAATCTGAGTTTGTGGCAAAAACTCAATTCCTTTAGACAGAAATTTACAACTCTCTTGTTTTCGCCAAAAAACAAACAATTTTATACAAAAGAAATGTGCAATATTTTCTTACAACTTGTCTAAAATCATGAACGTACCGTACTTCTCTGTATAATTTTAAATCCTGAAAAAATTAGGTATTCTTGAAAGCTATAATCTTATATGTTAGCTTGCAGCTAGAAAATACACGTTGAAAATGTTAGTTACTCTTGAAAGCTCTTACCTTGTATGATAGCTTGCAGCTAGCAAATGACAACATTCATCTTACAAAAGAAATGACCATTCATTTATGTTTCTTTTTTATATTAATCGTTATGCTAAATCTTACTTAAATTTTCCTGATTTAAATTAATAGTTCTTATGTTATAAACCTAAGCTTTTGCAAAAACAGAAGAGGTCAGTTTCCCCTCAAACGATAAGTGATCAAACGACAAGTGATCAAACGACAAGTAATCAAACGACAAGTGATCAAGCGACAAGTGATCAAGCGACAAGGATCCAACGACAAGTGGTTTAAGTTCTTTCGACAAGGGATCCAACGACAAGTGGTCTAAGTTCTGACGACAAGGGAACCAACGACAAGGGATCCAACGACAAGGGATCCATCGTCATGATCCATTAATTAATAGATCAAGAAAACTTTCCCATGTGACAATGGATCCATAAATAAATTATTCATTTGATCCATGGGGAAACATTTGAAAAATGTTGATTGACATTTGATTGAGTATACATTGGATCCAAAAAAGAAAAGGTTCTGCAAGGTGCCCAAAGTTTGGTTCGATGTAAGAAAAAATTATGAAATCTAATAAAGAAAGAAATTTGATCGAACAAATCGGCACTTGTGGTGAAAACGCAATTCTTTTGTTTCTCAATTTTATGAAGTTTGCAAAAATATATTCTCGGCTGGGGGTTCAAAATAACTTTTACCTAATTACGACGAACATCTTAAACTAAACCTTAAAGGGACTTTCGTTATGTGGTAACTTTAAGTGACCCTTCATTTAAAAAGGGTCAATTCCGATTTACAAGAGTACCCTGCACTATAGTTTAAGTATAAGTAAATATTTCCTGCTAGTGTAGAGCCGATATAAGGATTCATATCTCTAATTGGATAATGAGATAGATAGATGTTACCGCCATACTATTTCTATTGGTTCAAAATAGACAACAAACACATGACTGAACCCTGATTGGATCAGGCGCTAATGGACTCGGCATACAGGAGTGCCTGGAAACCGTAATATGATTAAAAGTGAAACCTTAATATGACAATCTATCTACTTTTTACTTTTTTAGAATCTGTTCAAAATGCAGATTTCTCAAATCTTTTGTCGACAAGATTTAATTGATAGCTAGGTAGTTGAACTACTGAGTCAATAGAAATACGGTTCAGCTACTTCTCGCTAGTAATGGAATCTGATTCCTGATTTGATTTTGAAATAGTTTTTATGATTTTTTAAAAATCTGGTTATCAAATTTTAACAAGCAATTGTAATCTATATACGGTTGTACTTCATACCTAATTTGATTTATAAAGATTTTTTTAAAGCCTGCCGCATTTTATTTCAAACAATGAAATAATTTTGCAAAAAGGTTTGATTGTCTAGAGCAGGGGTAGGGGTAGGGGGTGCAGATACTGTAAATTTTGCAAAATTCAAGATTTATTGCAAAAATACTGATCTTGGAATCCGACCCAACTTCAGGTTGTTTCTTAAACTTTGGCCTTAAAATCTATCTTGTTATGCTTAACCTAAACAAATGCATATTTCTAACGTATTTGAACTAGTGCTGGGGACATTTATACTTTTTTAATCATATTCTTAAAGGGACTGTTAGCGTAATTTCAAGTGACCCTCCATGCAAAGATGACAATGTCTGATTTACATCGATTGCCTTGAAATTTGTAAGATGCTGTCTTTTTTACAGTATTTATTTATGATAATTCCTATGGGTTTTCGTGTAGAGAAATTGAAATTGAATAAAAAATAATAAATTTTATAAAATTATAAACATTGATATTTAAGTCATACTTGATCAGACAAAGCTTTTAAGGATACATGTTGTAAATTGTGCATTGCCATTTTTGCTCGGAGAATGGAGATTGGAAATTCAGATTAAAATATGGACGATTTTTTAATTACGGTTGCTTATGTTTAGGTTCAAACGAAAATTTGAAATTTTTTTGTTCGTTTACAAAAATGTCCGTTAATTTTAAAAACTGTTTAATAAGAATCATTGTCCAGCCCTAATTTTAATCAAGTCAATCATATAAAAGATAAAGAGTTATCCTGACTTTATATGATCTTGGCTAACGTATCTGTGAAACAAATTAACATTCACCCTCTATGGGAAAAAATCATCTTTTGATGACTCTTGAAAGGTTAAATTATACAAGAAATATTCAGAAAGCTTTTAAATATTACTTAAAAGTACAAAAGCCGAATGGTTAATATTTTGAAAAAACTTTGCGGGAACAGTTTCTCCAAAGCAAAAAAACAATGAATGGAATTGAGTCTTTGCCGCAAATTCTAATTGTCTAATCCCTTTATCTACGCAAACCAATGTGATGAATCTTAGATATTTCAAATTATGAATTCTGTTTGATAAAATAATCTAAGTTTGAATCATTAATTGTGTACACTTTTAGGTAGCAAAGATATAGGAATTAGAAAATTCGAGTTTGTGGCAAAGACTCAATTTCTTTATATTGTATTTTGGCATAATGATAATTTTAAATTTTATTTTATTTAATATTCTGTTTATGTTTATCACATTTTTATTATATTTCTCGAATTAGTTTATATTAAATTGTACTTTTTTCATATTTACATTTTGTGTTTTAATATTTGTTTTTATAATAACAAAATCATTCTTTGTTCTTTTCATTAGCAGATTTAATATTAAAAATAATCGACATTATGTTATGTAATTAAACCTAAATTAAATTTGTTTTCAATTAAAGTGAACAAATAAGTTTATTCTAATAGTAAAGAAGTTGACAATCTTAAAAGTAAACATACACAGTCGTCGTCGTAAATATCTATTCAATTAAGACGACTTTCGATTTAGATTTTTGATTTCTATCCATCTTTTAAACGTCATGGATACATTTAAACATGGAAACAAAGAGAAGTTGTCAATTAACAGATTATCTTTGTTTACTTGTAAACTTGTATTGATATATAAATGGGTATTACAGCCACACTAGACTTGTTTCCTTTAAATGGGTTCGTTTACATGATATCGATCAAAAACTGTCTCATCTTAATCTCAGGCTATCATCCTTCTCCTAGTAGAGTAGTTCAGGTTTTAATCATGTATATAGGGTGATCCAAATTCATGAATTATATTTTTAAATGTTAATAATGTTACATAAGAGCTCAAGTTTTGACAATAATTTAACTTACCCTTTGTATGTTTTAACTGATAATTGGTTTACAAATGTTTTTGGGCCACATTGTATCAAATATTAACACCGATTAAACCGATTCATCATGAATATATAGACTAGAGGGGATGTAATTCCTCTAAACTTTGTTGTATTTTAATACGGAAGATTTTTAGAATATTTCGGAGCCAAGCTTAAAGTTTATAATTAGGAAGCATCAGGGGGCGGAAACGTCATGTGTGTGTGTCTGTACCAAAAGAGTGTGTGTAAAGTTTACCGTACATGTAGTATATTATTTATATATTTAAGTCAATACTATAAGCCAAATGTTCATGCAAAGAATATAACTTGATTACAACAAATATAGTCGTTATTCAAGCTTAATTATAAT